GGTTCTCAGATATTTTGGCATGCCACACATTGGAAGGCAAAAATTCGAGGCCCCCACACTCGACAGGTTTTATTTTATCTAACTGTCATCTGACTGTTACATGTCCGCGGTCACTCTGCATCCCACCAGCAGAACTATTGATTCCGCTGGTTTAATGCTATTGAAATATTCACAAATACCATGCACTCCTCTGTGTTTGTATCCTCTGCGTCTGCAAGTGATGTCGAGAGAAACTCGCTGACAACTAAAAGGCTAAATCCTTTCAGTATGTATAGGCCAACATGTACAACGTGCAGAACAGTATGCACTACTGTGTTTGGCACACAGTTACTGTAATGGCATTGTCACAATCATCTTATAAGCGAATCCGGCTTCACCTGTGCACATGAGCTGGTGAAAAACACTGCGACTTTCACTTCCCACTATCAGTTTTCTTTTGCTGCTGGCACAAAATGTTTTGAAGAACTGCCAGCTAACAGGGACTCGAGCCGAATCTACACACAAACTTATGGGGACAAACAAAACACCAGCACACTAAGCTTAACAGTGCAGTGGTTAGGAATTAAAAAAATGATTGACCAGCAGTTGTGAAACAGAGGAAGTGAAATTCTTTTACTATAGCGCCTAACATCTGCCTCAGTTAGTGGAATAATCTACTGATTATACTGAAAGTTATACATTTATATCAGTGGAATAAATACAAATTGTTGGATTTTAGAAGATGGTGACTAGCTCCCTAATATTTCTCCCGGTAAGCACGACACGCTGAGCTATACTGCACAACTTTTAGAAACTTTTGAGGTCAGCATGTAGATGGGGTCAACCGTGTTTGTGTGGTGCTCAAGTGGCAACCCGGGCATTAACCACCAGCTGAGAGGATGCCGCACCAGCCTCCAGGGTTCAGTGCCATGCCGGCTCCAGATGGCCGCTCTGTGGCACAAGTGCGTTGGTGATGGCAGAGCCGGGGCCCGAGCTGCGACGAAGATCCATCTGTGCTGCTCAGAAAAATAGCCACCATATTGGTTCAGCACTCCTGACGACATGAGTCATGCTAATCATGTCATGAGTGTGCTAGTCTAGATTAGAATCAGAGACGAGCAGATGGAGAAGGTGGCTTGTTTCCTTATGCTCACACCCACGGCGCCACTAAACTTAAAATCTGTACTCGGTGTTTCAAAGAGCAGAAAGAATAAGGATTTGTTTGTGTCAGAATATTGATTGGGGGGGAATCCCCTTTCACGGAAAGGCTAAAAATCTCCTTTTGTTTAAGGTGACATTTTCTGTGGAACGGTTCAGGAGTTTCAGTTCAGCAAAAGCCCGTGAGTGCTGCAGCCAAAAAAACACTGATGAGAAATCACACTGGTCAAAACAAAAGCCAGTGGTTTTCACAATTTTTGTGTTGTTGTTGTTTTTTTTAAGTGATTTTAAAATTTCAGACACAGGCCACAGTTGTGTAATTGTGTATCGCTCTGTATCGGTCTATTGATGGGCTGGGAACCTGTTTAAGGTGTACCCGCCGCCTCGTGACCCTAAGCTGGATAAGCAGTTAAAAAAAATAATGAATGGATGAAGCTTTGCTAAGCCCCTCCTTAGGACGCCCACAGCTTGCAGAACAAGAGGAAATATTGTTACACTGTGCCTATGGAGACGACAGATAACAGTAGATATCCTCGTAAAATAGAGGAAGGTGTCTTATTTTCTTTTTTAAGTTAAAAATACAAACGTAGTCATGTTAGATATTTATTAAACAAAGCTGAATCTACTGATTCAGGTCAAATCAGAGTGTGTGGTGACCTTCCAAAGTGTTGCCAGATCAACTCGGGACCTTTGGGGGTGTCCTTTAGTGTTTGTGGTGTTTCAGGTCATGCGGGTTGTGGGGTGAGTTTAGAGATCAGGTCAATGCCTTGGGCTTTGTGTTTGAGGGATTTTCCTGTTGGGGGAGGTTGCAGTTAACATGAGGAGTGCGCATGGTCTGCAGGAATGTTTGGGAGGGGTGGTATGTGTGAAAGCAGCATCTACATCAATGCTAGGCCTCAGGGCTTCCCAGCAGAACACCGAATTATCACTGTTATTCCCCTGGTTTTAATCCAGAGGCATATATCGCTCCTCTTGTACATGACCTTTGCCAGCCTGCTTACTCTTGTCCCTTGTATAACAACAACCTGCTCAACAACATTGCTTTCAGGTGAACTAGTAGAGCCTCTGTGTGCCTGAGCATCTGCGTTTCTGGTTATCATCAGATCTTTTATCAGCAAAGTCCTTGAACTATTAAAACCACACACATTCAAACTGTAATTAGCTAAGTGGCGCAATTTTGCAACTGTTTATTTATTTATTTTTTAATGGGTTTTGCTCTGATGAGCTCATCTTGTTTTTGCTTTTAATTTCATTGGACTGCTTATATCATGCTCGACAAACCTAAATATGTGATAAAGGCCACTTGATCACTGAATGTGATACCTGACGTGGGCTTACTGTTGTCAGTCTGTGTCAGGGGGAGTGTGCAAAGCTACTTTTCATGCTGGTCACCTACACTTGTCAGTAAAGATGCACAAAGATTAGCAGCTCCTGCATGCTGATGCTTTAGCAGTGCAGTGTGTATCAGCTAATCATCTTAGCTTAGCACGCTATCCCGTTTAGCACTTAACCACACAATATGCAAAGGCCATGAAGATTCTTGGGTACGCATCAATTTTGGCCTGATGATGTTCACTGCAAGAAACAAAGTCTATACTGAATTAAAACGTAACTGAGAAATTTCACTTAAAACCACAAATCTGAACTTCCCAGCAACTGCAGAAGTCAAATAGTCCAGAACATGCTGCTTTATAACTAGGGATGGGTACCGGTGTTCTGACATAAACAGTAGTAACCAGACCGAAAAGCAGCGCACATTTCGGTGCTTTATTTCGGTGCTTTTTTTTCCTGAGCTGTGATACACTTTAGATTCTAGCCAATAATTTTACGTTTCCGAGGATAGTAGGCGGGGCCAGGTACGTACGTTCTTTTAGAGCAGAGCTACAGATTAAAATGCCCAAGGCGAAAAGTCTGGCTGTACTTCACAGCAAAATATGCAAACTCAGCAGCCTGCAACAAGTGCTTTAAGCTGATACTGTGATACTGTCAAAGGAGGTAACACCAAGAATCCGATGAAACACCTGGCGACGCATAGCGTTTTTTTTTAAAAGCCCAGAAATGCGCCGTATGATAGCTTGCTGCGAGACCTCACACCGAGCGCATCTACTGTGCGTGGGTTGCCTGTTATCTGACCGGGAGTTAGCAATACCCCCCAAAAACCCCGAAGAGGAGAGTCCTGGCCCCTAGCCCTGCCAGTGTAGCAGAAATGATGAGGATGATGATGCAGCAGCAGCCGTTCTTCTCTGCGTGAGTAGCTTAATGTTCGTGTGTAATTTACGTTGAGTAGGCTAACCACGTTATTACATTAATGCATGTAAGGTGAACTAGCAAACATCATCATAGCTACATGCGGCTGTCTTCTTGTTTGATGGCAGATGCTCCCTTCACCCTGGCCAAAAAGGCTAAAATGACCAAAGAAAAAGTGGAAAACAGTTAAACATGAGAGGTTTTGGATAAAGTTTGTGTTTTTTCCATTGATTAAGCACTGCTTCCAGCCAAGAGTGATACCATATATGCCCTATAGCTGCAGAAAAGGCTAACATTGTTATATTTTTACAAAAAACAGCTGAACATGAGAGGTTTTTGGACCAATTTTGTGTTCTCCATTCTTTAAGCACCGGTTTGAGCACCGTTTGAGCACCGGCACCGTTTCAAAAGTACCGATTTGGCACCGGTATCGGATAAAACCTAAACGATACCCATCCCTATTTATAACACCTTACAGACATCTGGGAGCTGGCGCCTGGCATGCAGTTCAGTGACTCTTGACCTAAAGAGCTGGCAGTCACAGAGACAGCTGTGCCCACCAACGGAGACAGATACTTACAGTCATCTAACCATCCAATCACAGTGGTGCCAGTTATCATGCATTCACCGTATGTGTGTCAAGGGACTCTGTGTCATCTGTGCTGTTGCGCAAGGAGGATTCACGGAGGCTCAAAAAATAAAAACAGTCTGCACTTATCGAATTCTGCTCACTGAGTGCGAGTGTGTAAACGCAACAAAGCTATTTTAAATGAGACGAAACGGTGCGGCTCAACTTTACATCAGCAAAAGTCACTTAAGAGCCAACTGTGAAGTCGTACTCAAGAGTCTGCAGAGATCGGGTTACTACAAGTCTGAGCCACAAGCACCACACACCGTGACCTTGCTGTGACTTTCAGGGCTTTCACACACTACCTGAATGCTGAGTATACTAAAGTAATTTTTTTACAATCAGACCATTAAATAAACTATTAAAATAATTAATTACTTATTTAACATATAAAATGTCACAGTTGAAAAGCTCCAATTTGAATATATTTACTTGTTTAAAAACTGAACTGACAATAAATAAGTTGCCAAAGTTGTAAAGCTCATTAATCAAAGGCCCATTAACTAACTGAAGTAGCCTTCTCTCTTATCTTTCTCTCTCAATGTGAGTTTTGAGACAAAAATACTTTTTCCTCCTCACATAAAAAAGAAGACAAACAAATGTCAGAAAACAAAAAGTGCTGGACTAACTTCACCTCATTAAAATACTGTAAAAATCAAGTAATTCCACAATTTATTACCCAATCCTGAAAACCCACCCTTAGATATTCTATGATGTAGTTAATATATGTAGCAGTAAACTCCAAAACTCAATAAATAAATTCTTTTTTTTATTCACAGTTACTGAAACGCCTGCTGCATTCAGCTACTACAAAGCAAACCTGCTGCTTAACTTAGAATCAAGCAATGATCTCATACAATCGATATTTTTATATTGTTAAAACTGAGTGTGAGCTAATTGTGTTTATAAAAAAAAAAACATAGAATATAAACACACAAATGATCAGAATACATTTTTTTAAACTGCCGTATTTAAAATGTTTATAAATAAAGTGGCCAACAAACATAGAACTGGTGTATGACTATCATCAAAACATTTCTGTTTTGAGGTTTTTTCTTTATTTTCAACTTAATATTTTCTCTTTGTTTGTTGAAACACAGCTGTTGCTATAATCAGCCAAAGCTTCCGCCCTTTTAAATCAATAATTTTCTTTCCACTGAATTTAATTCCCTGCTGCCGATCACTTTTTGCGTTGTTGTTAATGATCCGAATAAGAATCTCTGTCAGTAAGTATTTTACTACATTTTTAAAAAGTACTCAGTACTAAAGAAACCTCTGGACTCATGTATCCACATGACATCTAAAACAGATAAAAGCAGCGGCTAACTGCACTCTCATAATTGGCCTTTACGTTTGAAGGAGTGGGCAACAATTAGCATTATGTTGCACATTACAAGCTGGTGTCTAATGGCAGAGCACCATTAGGATGCTGCACAGCCTCCACTTAGTGATTCTTGTCAACTGCAATAGGCAATTATCTGCGGTGACTCAGAAACAAGGAGGGCAGGGAGTTGAGATGAATGCTTCATTCATCATTGGTACATTAGTTTGAGAAGTTGTTGCATGTGGTGAAGCCATGTGCACAAGGGGAAAAGAGGAATGAATTCACGATGATAATATTATTAATAATAATAATTATAATAGTAAAGAAGGAGGGAAAATGTCACACTCATAAAGATGAAAAGAGACGGGGAGTACAAGGTGTGACTCACTGCGTGGGCAGCCGTGTTCTCGCTTAGCTGCATGAGAGTTGGGCTCTTTTTTGGCTTCCTGGGTTTGGGGGTTCGCTCAGCGTGACTTCTCTGGCCTTCCTGTGAGTCCACACGGCTGCTCATGTCTTCCCCCACGCTGCCTGAACTGCTGCTCGACGGGACGTTCTCCTTGTTGGTGTCTCCTGTGACGGAAGGCGCTCTGTTGTCAGACGAAAAGGAAAAGGGTGAGGAAATAAGACATCTGCCTTCCATCGGACTCTCTCTCTGCTCGCCTTGCTCGGTTTTAAATCAGATTACCGTAAAAACGGATGAAATGCTTCTGGAAACCAAATGCCCAAGGTCATCCCGATGCGTTTTTTTATATGTTCTCAAGCAGCTAATGTGCTGTTTAGTGTTTGTGCTAAGTCTATTTACTGTCCTGTCTTATTAACATTTTCTGCTGTTGAGACACTCCCCAAAATCCACGTGCCGCTGATCTCTCAGACTCCACCAGGTCTTCATCAACAAGGATTAGCTCCTTACTGGAATGATACCAGTTATTATGACTGCAAACTAAAGCTCTCCCCACAGAACAAAACTTCACCACTGTTTACTGAAACTGAAACATCAACTGAAAGTATCATTGTAGTATCACTGCAGGAAGCCTCTGAGGTCAGACCTCCATAATGAAAGTGGGCGCCACAATGGTGGAGTGGTTAGCATTGTTGCCTCACAGCAGGGAGCTCCCTGGTCTCGACCCTGGCGGGGGCCTTTCTGCGTGGAGTTTGCTTGTTCTCCCTGTGCCTGCGTGGGTTGCCTCCGGGCACTCCGGCTTCCTCCCACAGTCCAAAGACATGCAGGCTGAGTAACCTAGTGAGTTTAAATTGACCATGTATGCGAGGCAGAGGCTGTATGAACGTGTGGTTAAAGTGCTTTGAGTGGTCAGTACGACAAGTAAATTACAATTATTTTGCTTTAAGATGATAAATGAGGAGAAACACGATGTAGTGCTTCCACTATGAAGGCCACTTTCTGCAAGTAACATCGATTACGATTATGCCACGCCCACGGTACCTGTTTTTTTCCCTGTGTTTCCGGCCCTCCTCCTGATGCTGCTGCTCTCTTTGGTGCCTACGTCTCTGCCTCGCTGTTAGTGTCACCCGTGAAGGGCACGGGGTCGATTCGTGGGCGTCTGAATGCTGATCCTCTAAGGGGTTCACATCAAAGAGGTGCTGCTCCACTGCTGAGCGTATGGTCCTGTCCAGAAAACTTCAGGGAGCAACGCAATGAGTAGATAAGGAAATGCACCATTTTACGCTCTTCACTGTTTCATAAGACCTTTGGCTTTTTATTTTTATTTTAAGCAGAAATATACCTACTTTACCACACCAGGTCTGTAGTGGACGGGCGAGAGGTGGTTACTGAAAGAAAAACAAGAAGGGAAGCTTAATGCGCAGAAACAAGTGTTCACATAGGTCACTGAGCAACACTGAAAATCCCCCGAGGCTCACGTTGTGGCCTTTGGTGATCAAGTGCATGGGTGAGAGGTAAACTCAGCTGCGTTCAGAGCTTAAATGGATCCTTGGGGAGCAAAGTGGCTGGCTTCCATGGCTACCAGTAAGTCCAGCAGCAGAGTACACGGTCATGGACCTTTATACTGATCTCTGACTTCATTTTGGTTTTATTTTTAACGCCCTCTGTTTGTTAAATACTTGTAGGGTAAAGCAATAGGATTGTAAACTATATGCAGCATGAAATGTGTCTGTAACCTGTGTAAGTACCTGGATTCAACTGAATGCTTGTAGAAAAAAACATAACACCGCTGTTACATCACCACTGCTTAAACATCTTTAAAAGGTTTTATTCAGACGTCTGAAAATATTTCGATGTTTCAGTATTTTCCCTCCTACAAAGTCTAACTGAGAAAAAACAAGTAAATAAAAAATCGTAAACATTATCTTTTGTGACCGTAGGGTTAGGATGTAAAGGGTCATTTTCTCACATTTTATAGGTTACAGGGTGAATGAGTTTTAAGTGGTTTCTTTTTGGTCTTTTTTTTTCTTATTACACATTTAGCTAAGTGTTAGATCATAATTACATTAACACATTACTCTTGTGACTAAGTTGGCACAGCAAAAGAAAAATCCGCTCTCCTCAGGAAGTTGCTTTGGCCTCGACCAACTGATCGACATCATGTCTGCTTTTCCTGGACTACAGCTTCCTCAACATCTTCGAGGGTGACCTCAAACGAAATCTTCCATAAACAGTGGTGCTGACAGTAATAACAACTGGAAATGGGATCGCTGATGAAAGACCAGATAATAATGGCATGATGGTGTACTGTGAAGGTGACTGTGGTGGAGCTGTGTAACATGCCACAGGCATGTACTGATATTACCAAATCTATAACAAATCTATAAGGCAGGATGCCGGGCCGAGTTAAAAGCAAGCCTGCTGCACTGTGTAATAGTAACAAAGTTGTAAAGTACTCACAAGTATAAGGAATTCAAATAATCCACATGGGATTTTTTTAAATCTTCTGTTTCTCTACTCACAAATACAAATTCCTGAAAACAAAATCACATTTCTCTTCAGTGCAGTTTCATTTTTAACGGAGGGAAAAACAGAAAGGGGAAGTTGTGACAGAAGCAGAAACTGAACGCCTTGGTTATATCATGCTAAGAAAATTGCTACCGTGTAACAAATCTGCGACAAGTTAAAGGGATGGTTGATTCAGTGGCTGTCACAAATGTCACATTTTGAACATTCGATCTATACTAAAGCCTAAATTACGACAGACGTTTCTAGAGCTGTCTACAACTTTCTAGGGCTGTGGCCCATGCGAAAGGCAGGCGGGGGTAAAAGGTGATAAGACAGTCAATTACATATTTGGTCTATGACTTGATGACTGTCATAATTCAAGAAACATTTATGGCACTCTGACTAACAAACCAAGGCCATGCTCTAAGTTGCAAATATAGCACCATGACAGTAGATCATGGCTTTTTTTTAGCTTGCGGCTGCTTACAACAAAAAAAGTTGTGTACTACTGTCTGTTCATCCTGGACAATGACTTCAGCTTGAACTGTTTCCCATGCGAAAAAGATCCAGATTTAGATGTACAGGAAGCTAGGAAAAATGTATTTATATCTAAATGATCCCGTGACTCTCAGATTCATCTCGGGATACGATAGAGCCAACCAAAGGAGTAACACATGATTATTTGTCTTCTTTTAACCTAAAAAAAACCTAAATATGGATCAGAAATTAAAACCATACACAGTGGGCTGTACTCCAGTTAAAAATTCAGCAAAAAACATTCCATCCATATTGGTTTTTAGACATTAGTCTAAACATTTAGACATTTAAGCTTAGCATCACTACCTACAAAAGATTTTGGTTCCTGAATATTTCGCAGCTATAGTCGAGCCAAATAGTCTTTTGGTTGGCACATGATATAAGAAGTGTTGCAGTTTTCTGAGGAAGATGGCATCACTTCCCAGAGAGCGTAGTGCCCCACTGACTTGGTTTCAGCTGAAGAGGTAACTGTAAAACCACTGTGGTATGTGACGGGATGGCTGTCTGGTGAGTAATAAAGACATTCTTAGCTATGAACTCTGGGAAAAATAGACCTGAGGGGCAACAGGGACGACTCATTACATCACAAGCGCAACAGGAACATCACTGCCAGGATATGAACGGGCAAAGTTACCAATCCTTTCTAGAAAGTACTCTAACATATAAAACTACGCCAAAAAGCCCAGGTAAACGGCAGATTAACAAAGTGAGTGTGAAATTTCACTGCCTAGCTGTAAAAACGTACACCGAGAGTCATTTCTGTTGTTACTCCATAACCACGGCATGAGTGTTTTGTCTTCAAACAAACTTGATACCATTTGTTTTAGTTCTACTATTTTTAGCTTTACACCTGAAGAGTCATGGAGAACAAGTTGCATGTCAGCTAACAGTTGTCTTGCTCAGGTTTGTTCCAGTTACTTTTGACTGAGACAACATGATCTTAAAGGTTTATGCAGCACCAAGGTGTCTTACACTTCAACATGCGTTCAAGTGGTAACCAGTTTTTCAGCCTAAAATTAGACTGGCATTTTGTGACTGAGGGTGGGAATTACAGGGAAAGTGAATACAGTGCTCATGACTGTGTTTAAAGTGCCTGTGTATCGATAACTGATACACAAGAGGAAGTGATAATGACGCATTAATGAAGATGTCCGTGTAGATTCTCATTCATCCAGATCATGGTCGTCTTGAGAGCTTGAAAAAGAAGGAAACTGGACTTCGTTTGAGTTTCACCTCTCATCCAAGGTTTCTTCACCCTTAACCCCCGCTGATGGTAATGATCCTCGCCTTTGTTCACACCTTGGCTCATTGGATGACTCACATGATCAACAGTGATCCATTGACCTGTTCCAAAGGGATTAAATACCTGGGACTCGTCCATCTTTAGAAGCCTCTTGGATGAGAGGTGAAACGCCTTCACAAACTTAAAATACTAATACTAATAAATTCTTAAGAATAAATAAATGTGTTTATGCAATATCCTTCTTTTCTGGCTGGTGATACTGACTGACTGGCCATTCTCATGTCTGTGCAATAAATATGAAGCCACACCCTATAAAGATAGGGTCAAAAGGGCAAATATCTATGCTGGCTCTGGCAACACAATACAAAGCTGTGGTTTCATCATGCATTATGGGCTCACTGTTTCTTGTCCAAACGCTGTAATCCTCGAGGTCTTATCATCCAAGAAAAATTCTTTAGCTTTCTACTTTATAAACAGGCATGAGAACAGTACAAGTCTTCTTTATCTTGATAAAAACAAACATTATTTTATAAAATCCTAAAGAAATATAGTTCCAGGCAGACTCAAAACATTAATTTCGACTTCCAATTTTATAGCGTCTGTAAGATTTGCTGAACTTTTAAGTCTGCTCTGTGACGATATGACAGGTCTTCTCATTTTAATTCCCCTATTGTGCATTTTTTTTGTGTTTAAAAAGCCAACAGGGCAACTCTTTGTTGTAGAAAAGCTTAAGGACTGCTGAATTTAATTGCTTCACTCTGGACCCCCTAACTAAGAAAACTACTTTGCAAATAACAGTAAGACCAAAATAATGTGTTTCTCTAGTCAGTGGTTGTTTTGGTGTTTTAAAGTCAACAGGTCTTTAAGGCGTAAAAAGTGGGAACGCAACAACTCCAAAGCTTTCCCAGCTGAAGCTTATGCCAGCTAAATCCCAGCACTGTGTAACCGGGAACGTTCGCTCAGGTAATCCAGTATTACACCACAGTCAGATGTTAGCCAGGACCTTCAGAGGCTCTTGGCAAATCAAAACAGAAAATAAAATAAAATGAAATAAAATAAAATACATCAATCTGTGATCCAGTTTGACCGGGCTGAGGTTAACCAACTAAGTGGCAGTCTGAGAGCCTTTGTATGTGACAGACTGCATGTAGACCTCAGCAGACAGCTCAGCTGTGCTTCCAACTAGATGTGTGCATGTGACAGTGGACAAGTAGGAAATGGAGTTACTCACAATGAACGTGAGCATGACAAGTGAGTGGGGATGGGAAGAGTTTATAGGTGATCTGTGTCACTTAGAGATACACAGAGAGAAACAACACTGCCTCAACTAAAGATTACTGTCACCATCAGTTATCTCTAAATTGTTATCCTGACTTTTAAAAGAAACATTGCTGAGAAAGGAAAATCCTCACATTTAGGAGGATAAAACTATTCAAGATTTTTTACTGGCATGAATTCATACGAGGAAGCTGGTGCAAAATATTTGCCAGCATTAAATATACTTTAAAAAAAGAGTCCACGTATGTATCTGTAATCAGCACATCATCTATGAACACTGTGTCTTTTGCTGCGTCCTCTACTTGGCCGGTGTTTCTGACAACGTGCTGTCTCTGCGACAATAACCAAACAGTGTTGAGCAAACTGTTGCATGTGCATGCTGCCCTGTTGCCCCTCTCACCGGCAGCTTCATTGTTTCTGATGATAATGCACTGAGGCAGCATGCAGCCACTTCCCCCACACCTCCGATCAAAAACAACACAGTCTGTTCCCGTCCTGCCTGCTTTCTAACACATATACAGGAGGCCTACCTCATGTAGAAAGGAGATACTGGTCTGTCTTCATCTTGGGAGCTGAAATATGAAAACAAACAGACTTAATTAGCGTGCAGGATGCGCAAAGTCCTGTGAGATCAAAACATTACATTTCCCCACACAACAGTAGATTTCCCTGCAGCTAAAAAAAGGACATGCACAAGACTGGCTTTTGTCTGCAGAATAATGGCCATGCAGTGCTACAGATCAGTGCCTTTGTGGAGCTTGTCTCGGGTAATTATTATAAACCAAGAGAACTATGTGCTGCTCTGGAATATAGGCTGAGGTGCTACTGCTGCTGCTGCATGTATGCCAGAAGCACAGGATGAAATTATGCAACAATAAGAGGAACTCAACCTTGGCACTAATTTTGAGGTTGCCTAACTTTTTCATATCCTAGTTAAAAAATTTCACAATCGCCTGGTTTTGTTTGCCTAAGCAGAGCTCAGTTCTTTATTATCTGAGACAAGGAAAGAAAAAAAAGATTGGTACAAATACGTGAACTGTTATAATGTTAAACCTTTAAAAAATCAAAAAGTGCTGACAGATCTCAGTAAGGTTTCTGTATGTTCATTACATTTAGTATGAGACCTTTTAAATAAATAAAACCGATTCATCCACTTTACAAATTAATCAACAATTTTCAAGAAATTAGGGAAACAAAGAGGCATGTTTTCAGTTTAAAACACTGTGACTTATTACTACTTTTTATAAAACTATTAGGACTTTATTTGGATGTTTCTGTAAGAAGATAGTAGCTGTGTAAGCAACTCTTACAGTGCTTTATATTTAGATCTAAATAACATTGGGACAAAAGGTTTGGTTTACCAAATGCTGACAAAAAACGGAACAGCAGATAGTTTTGTAACTGCAATCCAGTGCAGGCTTTTACTTTGATTTCAAAACAATCAGCTAATTAACTACACAGAGAGTCAGGGAGAAAAATAATGAGTCACTACTTTTACCATCTGATCATCTAATTTTATAAGTTTGAACAAATATGGTTTAAAAGCAGGGCACTTGACCTCAGCAGTGTTTCCTATGTTTACTCTTTGGGCTTCGATTTCAACATCTTGCTCAAGGGCATTTGGAAATTTGCAGGACAACTGCTAACCTGCTCTGTCAACTTACTCACAGCTGCTCTAAACATACAATTTGACCATAAAATATGGTATTTGTATTCTACTCAGCTCTATAAAAGGAGTATATTGTATGCACATTACACTATTTATAGTATACTTACACTTTAATTACCCAAACCTGTAATAACTAAAGCACTTTTGTACTTTTGCTGCTAGTTAGAAGTCAAGCTGTCTCTCTAAGTCTTAACAATCATTATTAGATACAACATTGCAATAATTTAATCTAATATGGTAATCTGACATTTAATAGGAAAACTAATTGTTGAACTAATTAGTATTACAATATTGGTATAAACATAACCCTTCAACTTGCTGAGTGGTTTTTATAAAAAACAAAAATTCATGCGCATGCACGTTTCTCCAAAAAAAACAGAAAACTAAACGAAACAAAAAATCTCAGTTTGTGTGGGAAGGAAAACAAAGATGGCAGTCTACACACCTGACAGGTTTAATATGAACATTATTTTGAATTTACAGTGCAAAGAAACAATAACGTGATAGTAAAATAAAAGATAAAGATTAAAGATGTGTCCATGCTCTCCTTGTGCATGAATATGTTAAGTTCAACGTTATATTTTTAGAGCTGCGTCCACACAGGAAACAATTTGCAGTGATGTGGTGACCACAGACAGAAGAAAGTGAATGATATTTGGCAACTCCAAGCCACGACGGGCAAAACAACTGCTAGCGATGTAAAGCAGGTCCCGAGATAAATGTTTCTCAACTTCAAGCCGGTACAGGGTTACCTAGGCAACCAGATCCTGAAATGCCAGCTAATTACCTCCTGTCAGCGTCACAGTCATGTGTAACAAGCGCGTTGCTTCAATGTGCGGACGTAGCTGTAGCTGCCTGACAGCACATCTCAGGTGATGTTACACAGTAGCATGGATGTCATGAAGTAATTGGTATTATAATGTTACTTTACATAGGAAGTAACTCAATACTATAAAAAGAGAGAAGTAATGTGTGTGGTGAACCCAACACTAATCTCTCCAGCAATAGTTCCCTATCCTTAGATTGAAGCAAACTGATCAAACATACATTATATATCTCAGTATGAGTGTCAGATACATAAGAACATAAACCCTATGACATCAAACAAGCACAGTTAGTCAGCAGCTTGCACATGTTATTGTGGATCAGATTCACTCAATATTTAGTACTCTACTGCTTTGCTACGTGCTGTTCCTGCAATTGGCTTACTGTAAGCAGCGGGCATGTTGACGCGAGGGCGGACCACTTTGGCCATCCGGGCAGCACATCAACAAGTTCAAAACAAAGGATTTCGGTTTCAAGTCAGGCACGATCAAATTGGGCCAAAGTTTACTGAGCTTCAAAAGTCTTCTTAAATTGGCCAATGTACGGAAAATGTGCATACACTCCTTGTTTTAGTGAAGGGGTACTTCAACTACATAACTCTTCCAAATTCTTTTGCAGCTTTACGGGTGAGTTTTTTTCTCCCCCACATCCGCATGTTCTTACCGGGTGTTACACAGTCTGGCAAGCGTATTAAAATAGTGCGTGCCGTCACTGCCGCTGTGAATTGCAAAAGAAAAAAGCGGAAATCCTGCTTACCCACTACCTTACTGAGGGGATAACAAGAAGCTTTTGTAGGCATACTCCGACAATGCCTGATCCCTTTGAGTTAAGCGGAAAGCTACTAATGGCAAGTTGGTCAATCTGGACACGCTCTGCTTCTTCAACATTTTTAAAAATGTGTAAAACCCCCACAAAAAACGTAGTCCCGATGTTCACCTAAAAAATCTAGCTGTAAGTTTTTTTGCTTTCACCGAGTCCTTGTTTACCTTGCCCCCCACCCCAAATTTCTCCATTACACACGACAACGACAACAACAGGAGACGTACGATTAAAAAACTCGACGTGAACATTTTCCATGACATTACTTTGTAGGTGCTGTCACTGTGTTTTGCATTGCTAATCTTAAAATTAAGCTACGTAAACCCATTATCTGAGCGGGTGCTGCAAACATAAAGTGGAATTTAGCATGACTTCACTGAATGCACAAACTTTTTGCTTTTGCTTGTACTGTATATCCTTTATATTCACTACATATTTATTACATTGTTGAGGTAACACAGAAGCTCAGTCTAGATGGTTTACAAATGAAATATGACAGTCATTAGTTATTAGTTTGATAAGCACAAATCTGATCAGAGCGCCAAGCAAAATATTTACCTTACTTACAGTGTGAGTGACAGCTGACGGCCACCGTCTCATATGAGTGTTGGAAAAAAAAATACACCAGTATGCAATTTGTTAGAAAACCAGTTTGATCTAGCCAGCAGCTTCTTTCTACAAATACAGTGTGTGCTGTCTGATGTTCAGGCTGATGGACGGGACCTCCTGACAGGCGGCCAACAATACTGCTAACCCACAGGGAACCTGCATTCACAGCACACTGCAATGTTCCTCACTCACACCTTTTTCCAACGGGCTTCTAAGAATCTCAGCGGTTACATCATGATATTCACTGAACCATGGCAACTCAACAGAAAAGCCAGTATGCATTCCCAGTGTGCAACAATGCAATGCTAAGAGAATAACAGCTTGTCATGACTCTGCTATGCTGGCTAGAGTGGCCTGTACGATGAATCAGGTTAATGTGATATATTTCAGGTACAGGTGACGGCCAGAGGCAAACAAACTTAGTGTATGGAGGATTCTGATACATACAGAAGAGAAAAAAAGCAAAGTGGACAACAAGTGGAACTACTTCCAGGAACTCCTGAGAAGGATTATTTTGATCTTAAGTCTGTGGTGAAGACCCGGGATGGGAGCAGTTTGTGAAACGATGGGTGCATGTGTTAGATTTAATATGATACAACAACAAACAACGATGATGTGGTGCTCTCTTTACCATCAATTTGATGCAAACTAAACTGATTTCCCATTTTATTCACTTAAAGTATAGCATATTTTTAGGCATATTTTAATCAAACTTATCCCGGACAAGATAAATCTGCACTTTTCTTTTCATTTTAGCTAAACTGGATCTAAAACAGCTCAGGTCCAGCTTTGGTATAAGCAGCACTATGCTGGTGCAGACTTCTTTGACACATACCTACAGAAAGCGAGAGCAAGCTGCCAGCCCGGCATGAGTTACAGCTACAGACATGAAAACACAGATTTCTATTTGTGGAAAATTATCATTTTGATTTATATGGTAAAGCATTTTTTCACATGATAACAGAAAATTAAATTTCTATAAACACCACAAAAAATACCACAGTGCAGTTTGTTAGACACGACTATAGAGCATCTGCTGCTTTCTTGCATTAGACATGGTGAAGTAATTCAAGTCTTTTGGCACATCGCATGTGCCTAATACTAAATACCAGTGAGTTCAGATTGCTGACGCACATTATGGAGGTACTCGGTAAACAGCCACCAGATACAAGTGGACCAGGAGAATTTTAGGGTGTGGGGAAAATCCACCTGAAGATTTATTCTCACTCTGACATGGTGACAAAAGCATTTGCCACCTTGGAAGCACAGAATGGTTTTAATGTATTCCAGGCATTTCTGACTCCAGCACCTGGGTTAATATAGTGCATGATCTTGGCTATATGTATATAAACCCTTGCAGCACAGTGCTGTGAAAGACATATCGCCCTTTTCCTGATTTCGTATCACTGAACTCACCATTCCGAAAAAACCAAAACAAATGTGATTATTCACAGTTAATGAATATATTTCACATAGGGCAAGGCTTGGATAGCTTTTTTCCATTAATAAATGAAATTATCATCATTTACAAACGCGATTTTCTTATAATAAAATCTGTTTGATGATCTGAAACATGTAAGAATAACAAATATCCCCCCAAAAGAATCAGGAAGGGGGCAAATACTTTTTCTGCTCATTCATAGGACGCATGGCTGTCTCTGTTTCTATGTTTGCGTGTCAAACTAAACTTTTATGTAACGCGTAAAAGGATCTTGTGATGACAGGAGTCAGACACTGATTAATGTTATACTAAAGGTCACAGAAGCCAAAAACGTCGTCACCTTTTTTTATCCAAATACTTGGAAGCATCACATGCGACATGCTCATATCTTATAATTTGCAGTTTTTCCACTTCCCGCATCCAATTCTACGCACTTTTGATTTATCACTATGTAAAGAGAAAAACTGGGATAAATAGTAGGATGTTTAAAAAAAGGCTAATGTTAAATAGTATAGTAGTGATTTTTGGCCAACGAGTGAAGTTCAACTGAACGCGGTTCTACTCTAAACTCCGAGTTAAAGCAAAACCTCAACAACAGACACAGCTGCAGTCTTGCTATTCCAGGACGGCACTTAACACCAAGAGGTTTCCAGTTTCAGCTTCTTGTGACAGGCTGCTCTGCACGCCAAACAAACGCTGCCACCGGGCTCAGGCTACAGGTTCTTTGGTTAACACCACATCGCATATGTATACAGGAGTCATGAACTATTTACCACTAAAAGAGCCCCTCCTTCATATTTCACTCCATAAGGTATCTTTTAATGTCATGCAGGCATCTAGCAGTGAAGTGTGTGGCTGTGTGTGTTACATGATTTTACACCAGTCATAAGCATCATGCAGACAATACTGTGACGCTAATAAAGTCATAAAACTGAAAGAGTGGCTGGCCACATTTTTCAGAGTAAATGAGCCTGGTTTTTAAACTCTTTTGAAAAACAAGATTCACAAATAACACTTTAAACATAAATCACACATAGCCATCGATAATGTTTTTTTTTTTTTTTATAATTTACACCAGACACACTCACCTGCTGAGGCCCTTCATGCTTTCAGAGAGGCTGACGTCGTGAGGGTCGACGTGGGAGGCAGTGTCTGAGGTGGCTTGGTGAGACATGGATGTGGTTTCCATTGCTTCTGCGCTGGGGGTCCTTAGCTCTGAGGTCAGGGGCAAAACTATCGGTATGGAGAAAGGTTTTGCGTGGTAGGGCGCCCTGGAAGAGAGGCTGGGTTGGGGGACCACTTGAGTCATGCTGTCAATTTTCCCTTTCCTCACCTGTGTCACAGAGAAAGGTGAGAGGTCTCGTGAGGGGAAATATGAGATAGCACGGGAGGCAACTGATACACTGCCGATAACATTTCTGTACAACCAAACACACAGAAATGCACACGTGACACCTTTGCTCAGGTTGCTATAAACTATAAAGCATGCATTCGAGGATCTTCTGGAAAAGGGTTAGGGAAAAAAGGAGCTATCTTATAAACCTTACCGTGCTGACTCTGAGAGGGTACAAACAGCGTGAGCCGTCAACTGTTGTATAGGAAAAGAATCTTAACCTAATTACAGCCACATTCTGAGAACTACACTTTTTCATTTCCGAGTCACGACCAGCTAAACCAAGGAGAAACGTGCCGAAGAGCTTTCTTCTCGCTCATGTGGAGAGCACTCGCTGCTCATGCACACTGAAGCTGAATAGCTGGCTGTGGGGAGCATCAAATGGGTCTGACACTAGCTTAACTATCGATAATGGCCAGAAATATCCAACACTAAAATGGGCTTGTCTTTAGATGAGCGTGTGCAGGCTGAATTAAAAGGCTTTTTCGTCTTTGTACCAATTATCAGAGGAACGTTTCCATTTTGGGGTTTAACTTAATGGGCTGTACAATAATCTATGGATGCAGCAACCCATTTAGACATTTAGTCACTGATGCACTTAATGGACAGATCATTGGGAACATTATTAGTCGAACAAACTTCTTTAGCTAGACCTGGTATGGATTTTGCCCCTCAGAGCTTTGTGATTGATTCAGCTAAATCGGTCGTTCACAGGAAAACTGCAGGGGAGGAAAAGGGGGAAAATAAATGTGGACATCAGCTTATTTTTAGCAAAGGATTGAAGCATGTTGCATCACACTCTGGGGAGACGTCATGGTGAGAGATGGTAGAAATGGGTGTTGTGTTAATGGACTTCAGTGTTTGGTAAAGGTAAGATGTTACCATAGCCTGGTGTCTCTATATTACTGTATTTCCTTACGTTCTGTGTTTTGATGTTCTACTTTTGTATTTTCCTTCTTTTGAATAAAAAGATCTCTTTAGTGTTTATTTTTAATGTTTCTTTTACTACTAAACAACATCCAAATGGATAAATGAACACATAAATACATTTCTCCAGTCTCTAATAAAACAACTTTGTGTTCAAAAACAAAAAGTCATCCTGCTCACAGTCCATCACAATTCACAAGTTACTGCCCATAAAATTATAAACGTGACTTGACCTTGAGCACAATTTTGATGAAGACCCATTAGGTAACCATTGTGTGATAATTTCACTAAAATCTGACCAGCAGCCAATGATTCGTGTGAATTGAGGATGGACAAACAACTTACTGCCATGGCATGAGTTCATCAATTCTTCAGTTTTGGATTAGCTAAAAATTTAAACTGAATCGTGCTAGAAGCTTGTTGGTGACTAAATAGCAGCCACTAGTTATTAGGGAAAAATGCATATTCCACTACTGCTTAGAGAGCAGTTGTGGAAGTTGGCTGTTGCCGTAAAATTGACTCCTTGTGAATGCTTTGGCTGCTACAGGATTGCAGCGGCAGACTGTGGTTTGCACGGAAGCGACTGACTCTTCTGCAAACAGTTGTGCCATTAGAAACGTGTTGCTTATGGTACAACTTTTACTGTGAAAAGTGAGCAATCTCTGTTTGTTTTTTTAGATTTTTTCTATTGCTCAATAAGTAGTTTGTGAGTGTTCCTTCCATGCAAACTCCAGTCAACAGCTACACTTTGCTTGTGTTGTAGAGAGGATTTTGGTGCAGCACCCTTTTTGAAATCAGTTTCACCTGGCGACAGCCTAGCAACTTCCAACTAGTCAGAGAATGTCCATTTGTGGCCAGGGGTTGCAGACTGGCGTGTAGGCCTGTGTGACTGCGGTTTTAGCTAGAAGATAACATGAAATCATGTTATATCTCTCAATAAAGGCACAGCCATACAAATCAAACAGAGGGCTAAACACCCGGTTTTGGTTTTGGCCTATGCATTTAGAACAAAAATCAGGAGCGAAAGAGACCAAAAATTCCTGACAAACCTAAATGAGGATATGACCTGGTTTCTAAATCATGGATTAACTTATAATTTGTGAGTAAAATCTCAAAAGACTTCAAACAAAGCCAAATGAAATATTTAGAACTCTGTGTTTTCTCTCTCTGAACCTGCTACAATAAAAAAGGAAGCTGTGGCTGGCCACAAAACAAGTACTCACTGAACTCTGTTTACTTGATGGTGCAACGTGATCCATACCTGTTCTTGCTTGCACAATCGCCACAGTCTTTTCTTATGAATGTTTTAAATGGTGGGTCTTCATATAAACATTTGAGCTTTAAAAGAAGAAAAGCGGGCATCTGCCAATTAAAAAAAAAAAGCACTCAAGCGTTTCTGTGATTTTCCACGGTGACAGTTTTGTTTTTTCAGCAAGAGGGAATAACTAATAGTCTGCCAGTAACAGCTGTTTGTTTTACAGTCCAAAGATCATGTACGAGTATAAATGTGTTGGTCAAACAAAACACAATTATACACAGTTTAAAGACGGGTGTATGATAAATCTAGAAGATACAACAAACAGATTAAAGCCTCTCCAATTTAAGTAAGTGGGTGTGTTTTTCTTTTACTGTTAGACATAACCTGAGGCTAATAAAAAGTATTTTATAGACTGACAAGACTTTGTCCTTAGAGGACTTCAGAAACCTGGTGTAGTTCTGGTAGAAATGTGTGAGTGGAGATCATTTAAAAAACAAACACTTAATATGTTTTCTTAAGCAGTAAAGAAGCCAAACCCCTCCTAAGCTTAGCTTTATGGGGAAAGTGAGTTTTTACTGGAGGCTCTGGGAAACAATAGCAATAAAAGTTAATATTTAAAGTGACCATGAATCGCTTGATAAATTCTTAAGGTCAGTCTTTTATCTGTGAACACCATTTTAATTTTGAGAGGAAGTTAAGACTTCCAGGAATGGGATATTGTGAGCTTTTGTAATGAGACTCAGCAGCTGGACGTTCAGGTTGATGGGTTTAGTGGTTCATTGGCTCCTAAGCAAAAGACGTCACTAGTTTGCTGCTGATGGTCGAACATTTAAGTCGAACATGCTGTTGCTCTTAGCAACCATCAATGGGAAAGCTATACAGCTTTTTTTAGTTGTGCAAAGTATCTAAGTGCATTTATTTGAGTGCAAATTTGAGGCCCGTACTCTACTGGAGAATTGTCTTTATGAAACTCTACTTCTACTGCACTAGACTTCAGAGAAAATATTTGACTTTTTTCTTCCATTATCTATTACTTTGTATTTTAAAACTTCATAGAAACATAAAAAGTAGATGAAAAAAAATAATGAAAACAAGCCAACAGTACAAACAAGTGCAGCTGATTGCTTTGTTTACACAAAACTGTATTTTGAGATTACTTCATTTGTCTTTTGGGCAACTGTATGAACATTTCATCATTCTACCCTCTTGAATGTGAGGGCTTCCCTGTTGACCTTCCTTTTTAGTAATAAGCACTAGTTGCATTCTTATACAGAGTACTCAGATATTACTTCAGACAAAAACAGTAAAATGATTACCTGAATACTTTGAGTTAAGCACAAATTAAAACAGTTAATCTTGTGGACGCCATGCATCTGTAAATTATTACTGTGCTGCATTTTACAACAGAACCAATTGTTGATCTTTATTAATGATAATCAGGGTTGCCAAGCCTGCGTGCAAAAATCAGGCCAAATGCCATTCAAAACAAGACCAAGCGAGCCCAGTGTTCAGACGCGGAGGATGCCAGAGACTGCTTTAGCACGTACGCATATGTGCTCGGGTTGATTACTGGCATGTGATTATTTGACTTGATGTAATTTTTCACACAATAACACGTCTTAATAAAAGTCACATACAGATGTAAACTGGATGAAGCCAATTTTGAACAAAGTTTTTATAAAAACTTTATCTAAACACTAGCTAAATTATTTTGTCACATTTGTTATAATAAAACTTTAAAGCAGCAGAAACCTGAAAAGCAATGAGCGAACGTTAACCTTCACTGGAAGTGTATTTCATTTGTCGCTTAGCTGTACACTGACACGCACAGACTGTGAAGCCAGAGACGAAGGTTGAAGTGAAACGTTTAAAAATACTCTTCAGTTTTCTACACAACCTCTGCTAGAAAGCAAAAAATTCTTTGCAGGGCACAAATGAAAGCAAAACGTCCTTCATCGGCAGATGTTTGTACCCTTCTGAGCTTAACTTGCTATCAGTCAGCGTTTCTTTTATCTCACAGTGACACAAGCTTGGATATGATAAACACATTTATGGCTTCAGAGCTTTGTTTAAACTACGCTCAAAACAAACACAGCAAGATCATTTTAATGTGTCTCAAAGCTGAAACCAACCTTAAGAAAATTACTCTCATTGAACTGCACATGTGATAAAATACTAAATAATAATAATTTATCATTCAATTCAACTGACTAAAGGAGAAATTTATACTTTACAAATACATCTTTCCAATAAATGATTCCTGAGCAGTTTGTAAAACATGTGCACAGACAGGAATTCTCCAGGGTTTTATTGCCCTTTTGCCCCTAATTGCCTATTTCAGTGTCGGGCCTCATCTGTAGTAAGACAGCATACCAAAGCCACTGTTTTTCTCTCTCTGCAAATAACTATGCCGTTGTTTCCTGTAGCAAATTGTCTTTATCAAATCATGTCACGTGACCAAGCAGAGGGCTTTAGGCATCGCAGGCAGTCTGAGAGATAACTTCAGGGTAATCAGCACTAAGGCAATACAGCAGATAAGAAGCCCTATAAATGTATATATGAAATATGAAATAAAATGTAATAAACTAGGAGGCCAAAACAACAGTGCAATTATTCATGCTGACACGTGGTTGTCTCTTGTACCTTCTTTTTTCTTGTTTTTGCATTTCGAGCGTTGGTGCAGGATTTCTTCAGAAGTTCTGCATTTCCTGTTTGGTTTAGGTGGCCAATCTTGAAAAGGTGTACACACAGATAACAGCAGACAATGAGATTTATAGTACATAGTAAAATTATCTGAATAACTTTAGAAGGTATGTATGAATGTAAACCACAGAAATAGCATTGCATTCATCAAGGTGTAAACACTCCAAAAAGCTGTTTTGAAACAACAGAATTTAAACAAAAAAAAGACAACTGAGTCACTAAAATAATTTTACGCTGCATCATAAAACTCCAGTGGATGGTATTGTGAGCAGTGAAGATCTACAGCTGTTAATGTTTTAGAAGAATAAATGTTAATGCTTTTTAAATTTAGGTTGAACTTGGTCACCTGATAAGTTATCAGCAACAAAACGCAAACTACTAAAAAGGTCATCGTCTGCTTCACTGAGTGACAGGAAAAAACAATACATGTGGTATTGCATGTGGTATACGCTAGTCACTACACAATAACCCACACAGACACACACAAATATAGCATTACAAAACAGCTTTTCCAAAACATGCCCATGTTGTGTTAATTGCGTCACACAGATTATAGTGCTGTTGTAAAAGCGACTATGTAAGGGAATTTAAAAGGTTCTTGGAAGGCAGACCTGGGAATGCCGGGCATAAACGAGAACACACACAAACACACACTTCACACTGGACAGATTTCTTCTTTCATAACAGGTATGAATACATGCATAAACAAAGACACAAACACACAGGCTTTACTTTCATCCTAGTAAGTGGGGTTGTTGTCTTTGCATCGAGATGGCTGGATGAATTCTTTGTGTCTGCATCTGCCACTTGAGTCTCCTGGTACAAGAAAGAGGACAAAGGAGAGTCACATCTGTAATACACATCTTACATACAGCCAATTAACAAAAGAGGTAATGTCTCATCTTTAATAAAGGCCAGGAAGCTTTTCTCCAGTCCTTATGCATGGAATAAGAATCTCATATATAAAGTAGATATGAAATATGTCAGGGTAGGTGGGTTCTGCTGTTGTGTTTTATTCTAATAGCTCCTATCAACACAGCTGAGCACAGATTTAAACAGCATGACAGTCTGCCTCCTCAAACACACATGATCACTAAAAACTGCCGTGCACACGTGCTGGCGGTCTGCATTTTACAACTGGAAGTAAAGGCAAACCACCGATCATGTGTGCTATGTTCACAGGCATTGCAAGGAAAGTCAGGAGGTAGGATGCCTCTGCAGGTCACGTGTGTGTGTGTGTGTGTGTGTGTGTGTGTGTGTGTGTGTGTGTGTGTGT